TAAGCCCGAAAGCTTAGTGAGTTACCCCCAAAATACCAACCACACATAAACATACTCATAACATATCACAAATAGAACAGCCATGCACATCGGGTCTACTGTGTGACTGGTCTGCCCGCACCGGGCCTTCAGTCCACCTGGTCCACCCTCCGAGTCCAGTATGACTGGTCCGCCCACACCGGGCCTTCAGTCGGCCTGGTCCACTCTCCGAGCCTCGGCACGTCTGGTCCACCCTCTTGGGGCCTTCAGCCTATCCGGACCGCTCGCTGGGCCTTCGGAATATCCGTTCTGCCCTGGGTATGTTGGCCTACAGCACAAAGCAAGACCCGCCTCAACCCAACCCCCGTCAAACAACCATGTGCACATAAAACAATTCATCACATAACAAATCCTTAACCAGACTATCAGTCTAACATATCACATAGCATATCAACATCCTAACCAGGATTCCGACCTAACCGGTCACTAGCATAGCATTACCTTATATACCGGGTACCTACCTCAACCAGGTCACTAAAATAACATCATCCTAAATACCAGGATGCAGATCTAGCAAAGCAATAACATAACAACAATACCCGGATTTCCATCCGATAAAGGGCCGGCCTTGGTGCCGTAGACACTGTCGATATAGTGAGGATAACTCACCTGCAATTGTCGACTGGAAAGATAAGACCAAGCTGCTCCGACCACCGACACGATCTTCACCACAGAACACTACCAAAGAACCAATTCCATAAATACCCTTGAAGGTCAAAGTCAAAGTCCAGGCCAAAGTCAAACTTCCTGACTGACCCTACTCGCCGAGTCAACCCGTTGACTCGTCGAGTCCTTATACTCTGAAAACTCTTAGAACACGACTCAACTCGCCGAGTCACCCCAAGACTCGTCGAGTCCAACGATCTCCGAGTCCCATCCTGTCCAACTCACTGAGTCACCCCTCGACTCACTGATATGCGTCTTAACCAGAAGAGGTTTGGGGTTATGCGACCTGACTCGCCGAGTCCAAGAACAGACTCGCCGAGTCCAAGGCAATCTTCAACAGACTCGCCGAGTTGTTCTTCCAACTCGCCGAGTCCATGCACATGTTCATACAACTCGTCGCGTACACCCATGTGACTCGCCGAGTCTCTTCAATTCTCAATCCATACAGAGGCTTTTCGAGCCATGCAGGGGCTCCAATCCATAGATCCACTCTTCTACAGCCTAACCCTCACATAAAGTTGCAAACTTTACGTGAAACCAAGGAGATATAGGCCCAAAACACACTAGGGCTTGGGTTTTAGACAAAGGGCTTCACCAACAACTCAAAAACTGAAGCTTTATGACATCTTAGGCCATCATGAGTCTAGATCTGGAGTAGCAACCTTAGATCTAACTCTAAATCCGAAATAGATCTCAAAACAAGCTAAAGAACTCCCAAAACAACCACCAAGGATGAACCAAAAAGGAAATAGCTTAAGATAAGGGCTCCTTACCTCAGAGATGTGCCCAAAACTGATGTAGATCCCAGATCTTTACAAGCCCCTTGATGCTAGCTTCCAATTTATCAAGCTCTTTCCACCAATTTCCTCTTCCAAGCCCCAATCTCCTCAACAATGAAGCCTCACACGAAATTAGGGTTTTCTAGAACTCTCTGGGGGTTTAGGAGGCTGGAAGAGGGACATAAAGTCCTTTAAATAGGGTGCAAACCCTAAGATTAGGGTTTTCTCATTCCAGCACCAACTCGTCGAGTCCAAGCCTCCGACTCGGTGAGTTGGTCACTTAATTCGCGATCCAAACCCGCTCCGACTCGGCGAGTAAGCGTACTTACTCGTCGAGTCTCTTCCTTTATTTACACTTAGCACCCTTCACTTCTTGTTCCGAACTTGGGATGTTACAGCTTCGTATATCTCCGATGACAACATCCAGCACCAACGCAGTTGTTGATTTCGTATACAGATTTTGGGTTTTTGGCATTCGGTCATCTTCTCCGACCACCTTCATCTTCACTACCGACTACATCTCCTCCCTCCTCCCTCATCAGTCATCACCATCGACCTGAGTTGATTTTTTCAATCGGATGGTTTTAGGGAGATAGTACTGGAGGCAAAAGGTATTTATGGGGGAGAAAACGTGGGAGATGATGGTGGGCTATAGATTTCATCGATGCGATCGAAGGTGATGGTTTTGTCATCGATGGTGGTGTTCCACCAATTTAGAGTTCTTTGGGTTTTTTAAAAGAGAGAGAGAGAGAGAGAGATTTTTATTAATTTTTTTAATCATAAAAATATATAAATAAATAAATAAACTAAAAAAACAAAAATGAAGGGTGAAATCGTCATTTCAAAAAAGTTTAAAGTTAATTGGACCAAACTCGCAACAAAATGAAAACTTTGGACCTGTGGTGCTAGTCCAAACCTTTTTGGACCAAAGTGACAATTTTCCGCAAACCACAAGGACCATTTGTGCAGTTTAGTCTTGATTAATAGTTAAAAAGTGTTTTCAATCATTAAGGTTGTTTTTCTAGTATAAAATATTTTTTTTAGTAAGGATAATGACATGAAAGGGTAACCAATTATAGTCTTTCTATATATTTGGTCATTTAATTTTTTTTGGTGCATACTTAACCTTTAAACTTGTTTTTTTGTTTAAAAAATACCATTATTACCTGCAATAGCATGTAAAATTTATTTTGGGGTTTCAATTCCACCTCCGGCGGCTTTTCCAACGGACGCAAGCTCCGGCGACATCTCCATTTAATATTCTTCGGCGACATTTCTAGTGTTCTTTACCTCCGGCTACATTTTTAATCTGGGTTTTATTGAAGGAATCGAACCCAAAAATCAGAAAAAGAACTCACAAAACACACCTAATTGTGTGTTCTTGGTGTTTGTGTGTGAAATTTCAAATCTTGAAGAGGAAGATAAAGAACCCAAGAACTTAAACCCAGAATCTCTCCATCTTCTCTCTTTATCATTTGAAACACATCCAACGCACACATCATTGTTCTGCAAAAATTAGAAATCTCCAGATTCAAATGGGTTTTGAAATTGTTTAGGGTTTCTTGATGTTCGAGTTTGGGTTTGTGAAACGATTTTTCCAGATTCGACTTAGGGTTTCGATTGCATGTTGCAGATCCGCCTGTTCTTCAAGCTTTTTCCGCCATAGCAGATCTTGACTGTTGTACAATATTATCACTTTTGATTCAAACAAAAACTCAACACTCACCAACAGATTTACCATATTTAAAGACGAAGATTCAGGTTTTTAAACGAGTGTACCAATCTGAAGATCAAAAGGGTCGTGTTAATCAAACCCTGTTGGGGAAAACTCACTACAATCGATTTTTTATTGATGCTTTTTGAACTTATCAGGAACTTTACCCTTTTCTTTGTATGGTTTTTACAAACACACTAATGTAGCATACGAAATGTGGGTTTCCTTTCACAAGTATGAGTTTAACAGTTTCTACGTAAACAAATGTGATGAATCTGATATGGGATCTGAACAGGCCATACATGCTATGAAAGAGAAGAAACAAGATTTAAGAAACATTTTTTGAAATTATTTTTATATGATTTAACAATGGAGAAGATTGAAACAAAAAAAACGGAAATGTCGCCGGAGAAGATGACCGGAGATGTCGTCGGAGCTTGCATCCACCGGAAAAGCCACCGGAGGTGGAACTCAACCCCCCAAAATAGGTTTTACCTGCTATTGTAGGTAATAATGGTATGTTTTGAACAAAAAAACAAGTTCAATGGTTAATAGTCGACCAAAAAAAGTTAAGTGACCACATATATACAAAAGATATAATTGATTACTCTTTCAAGTCATTATCTCTTTTGGTAAATAAGGGTGTTTATTTAGCTAAATCCTTGTTTATAACAAGTTATGGACATTGTAAGCTTTTTTATGTCATTAAGTGACTAAGGTGATGTTTGTTTTTTTGAAGCAAAAATTCATAAAGTCTGCGGACCACCTCTAGGGTTGTAATAGAAGAGGTGGATGAAACGGCTGCAGACTGTAATAAGAAGCGTGTTTGTTTTTTTAACATCTGCATGCTGCTGCGGATATTAAAAAATTAAAATAAACTAATTTTATAAACCAAAAATAGTTTTTTAATACCGAAATTTTAATAATGTATGATATTTCAGCAAAAATTTATGATATTTCAACAAAAAATAATGATATTTCAAAAAAAAAAAAATAAAGATATTTTAGCAAAAAATAATGATATTTCATCAAGAAATTATCATTATTCAATATAAAAAAACGAAAAAAAAAAATTCAGCAAGAATAAACCAAAAAAATGTAAGATAAGATTTCAACAACATATAATCAAGATTTCAACAAAAAAAAAGAATAAGAGGTTGGAAGAGACAATACAAGTGTTGCGTCAAACAGAACATGCGCAGATGTTTTTAATTCTGGAGACTTCTAAAAAACAAACTGCGAGATTAAAAGTGATGCACGTGTGCTGCGCCGCGCAACAATAAGATGTCTGAAGAGTTTTTTACAAAAAACAAATAGCACCTAAGTATTTATTCCAATAATGAGTTCCAGCATGCTTAACACTTGTCGCATGAAGTTTTGAAACATAGGTATTGTCATGACAAAAGGCGCATGAAGTTTTGAAGCATAGGTATTGTCATGACAAAAGGCACACTTCCTCAGACATGTGGTGAGTCATGACAACATGAAACGAAACGTGAAGCATTAAACCATCTAGAAACACATCAAAATATGGCAACCTATTGTGCTAGTTGGTCATTATCGAAAATCAAATTATGGATTTTCAAAATTGGCGACTCCTTTTAAATTTGTTTTTTTCTTTTTTTTTTCCAAAGAGAAATAAAAACCAACTCCTTTGAATTTGTTGGCAATGAAGATTTTGAATTCATATGGGGTGTTGAGTGTAAAAGAGATTGAGTTTACCGATAACTAAAACATGATTACACCACGATCTATGATTAAAAAGTTAATCTAACTTATTTGACTTGCACAATCAAGAAAAATGCACACATCACAATACGATTTAAATGACCTTCAACTTGCTTGACCCATTTTAACCCATTTCATGTTTGACTACAGTTCCAACTTTACCCATTTGATATCAATACAATCAAAACCCAATTGCTTTAAATAACACAACAATTTTGTGGTTTCAAGTCCATATAAATAACTCTTTGAAGGTTGAATCAATGGTTTATTTAAACACGAAATGATTTCACTCATTGCTTTTTTGGGTACTCCCTTGCTCCAAAAATGGTCGATCCAATTCTCACATTTGTACTTCCCATTTCAATCTACATAGATGACAAAATATTATATTATAAGCTGGTTTTTTAAAAAGTTATAGTGATTAAACTGTTATATTTTTTTTTTTATGGATGTAGGCATTTGACTAATTTCAACAGTGTCAAGATTATATACTCATTAGATTCCTGGAATTAGAAATTTCACTTACAGCTAGCTCAAAGTCGCTTGACATGCCCATTGATAATTCACATTGTTCTTCAGGTATTCCAAGGGCATTGCATACCTCACTTCTGCAGTTTGCTAATGTCTGAAAAATGCTTTGATTATGATGACATGTGAAGAACGAAAATATGTAAAATATAAAGATGAGTGTTTAGAATAAATCACCTTGAAGTTCTCTGGAGTTGAAGTGTAATCTGGCATTCCAATGGTCATTAACCCACAAAACTCAAGGTTTGTGCACTTTGAAGTAACATGTTTCACAAGCTCCAAGCACCCATCTGGGTCAACTCCAAATTTTGCTGCAAGGAGGGTATTTTGGTCTTTTAACAAATAAGGAAATAAAAGATAGTGAAGTTCTTTCAGTCTTGGAAGGAAGTAAGAATTTCATGAACGTCCATCCATTGGCAACCAAACATGCCATGGAATGGAATCTTGAATTCCAATTCCATCATGGACCAAACACACTCTTTAGTTGAAGATTTTCAAGAGATAATATTTGCAAATGGGGTTGAGTCATTGAAATAATTAATGTCATGTTCACTCACATATTTCTCCACTTGTATTAACCTGGACTAACACCTTCAAAGGTTTCCTTCCAATGTTCCCAATAACTCGATCAAGATTATTTGCAATCTAGAAAGAAAAAAAATGAAGAAAAAATAACATACAATGAGTCAGTGATTTAAAAAGCCTGGTTGATACAATATAGCAAGGAATATTGGTATTACCTTTTCATCATCTACAGTCTCCACCATGAACAGATTTGGTACCCCAGCTGCACATCAAATTATAGCAAGATCAAAATGTTAAAACATGCTCCCACTACAAATAAGCAAAAGAAGCATTGAGAAATTGTAATTATTTTCTCTTACTCAGCATCATGAATTCAAGTTTCCTAATTGCTACTGTGTTACAACCCTAAATAAGAGGCCTATAACACTTACTCAAGAGAGGTTTCACTTTGTTGCTCTGTAAATTCCCAATAAAGTGCCACTCAATGTCTTCAGGGAGCTGCAAGTTTAATCAGCTTTTTTGCTTTAGTATGTTCATCGCTACCTAATAAAGGCAAATTACTAGTCCAGAAATCAAAACCCTAAATTTTTACAGTTTCGAAATTGCTGGGATTAAAATTAGATTAAAAGGATGAAAACCTGAGGTGCTTTTTCGACAATTTCCTGGACGTAGTTTTCACCAAAATAACGGTGTCCGGCGTCATAGACTTCCTGGAGTAGTGAAACGGGTTTAGTTTTACTAACGGCGACGACTTTAATCCGATCAGGAACACGCGAGGATCTTTCAGCGGCTTGTTTGACGCGATGAAGGACCGACCTAAGAGCCGTCGCTGCAACGCCATCCATGGCGGAAGCTGCCATCGTCGGATGCCCTCTCGTTCCGAAGTTTAACAAGAGAAAAGAGGAGAAAATAAAAGAAAACAAAATTTTCCGAAGAATGGAGAGAAGCGGAAGGAAATCAATCATTTTTTTCTTTCTTTTCAAATCCTCCCAAATGTGAAGGAAAGTTAGGAGGGGAAGTGATCCTCTCATTTCCCTCAACTTCCTTTCACTTCCCTGCTTTAATGAAACTCGGGAATACCAATTTCTTTTATTTTCTTCTTATTTCCACTCATTTCCTTTCCTTTCTCTCCTTAAGTTGAACTCGGGAACGGGGCGTCAGTGTTGATGTTCTTCCCGTCTTCTTTTTCTCTTGAATAAATTACACGAATGGTCCCTATGGTTTAGAGTAATTTGCATGTTTGGTCCCTAACATATTTTTTTAATTCGGAAGGTCCCTACAGTTTGTTTTTGTTGCGCTCTTGGTCCTTGTCCTACCTAAAAAGACTATTGTGCCCTTGATTTTTTAATTTATTTAAATAATGTGGGGTAGGTAAGGTAAGGTGAGGTGGAAGTGGGGTTGGAGGTGTTTATTTAAATAAATTAAAAAATCAATGGCAAAATAGTCTTTTTAGGTAAGACAAAGACCAAGAGCGCAACAAAAACAAACTGTAGGGACCTTCCGAGTTAAAAAAATATGTTAGGGACCAAACATGTAAATTACTCTAAACCATAGGGACCATTCGTGTAATTTACTATTTTATCTTTCATTTTCATTTTCACTTGAGTGAGATGAATTCAAAAATGGGCCAAATAGACTATTTGAATTTTGAATGCATTTGAGACTTCATGATGGCCCATCCAATATCCAGCCCATCATAGGTCCAATATACTATTATGTATAAGCGTTTTTTTTTTGGCAAAAATAAGTTATCTTACTGAAATTTAACCTATAGTAAAATCATAAAAATAGTTAATCGTAGTTTATAAAGTAGCTTATAAGGTACCTTATTGATAAACGAATTTGATGTCATGGGGTCAATTTTCTGACATGTTCAACACTCGATTGGCCTACAATCAATAATCGAGTAAGTCGTCAAATGGGACTAGGAATGAGCATGAAGCACTTGCAGAAAAAATTAGGGTCAATCACGCCGAGAGGCTAGCGGCATGATTACAGATGAGAGCTCGACATATCGATCAATGTCTGTGTGGCGTCTCAGGTCCTCCATGTATTATGCTTATCTCGGTGAATGGCCTTCCCTTATACGTATGTTGACCGGTTTTCACATGGCCATAGGCTCATCAATGAGGCATCAATAATTCTAGACCATTTGTTGTCTAACCCACATGGTTCCCCTTCGAAGTCGGGTCTTTGACCAGCAACAATACTCTCGGGTGTGCTTGAACTCAAACTAAGGATTTGGTAAAATTTTCTAAAAGAAATTGATTTTCTAAGAAAGTTTTTAAAATAAAAAGGGGTGTGATGCGTGCAATCAGCCAAGCTCAAGTAAGTATTTCCCAAAATACCCATGCGTGTTATATGATTGATGTTTGATTTGAGTATATGAGAATTGCATGCTAGATTAGGGCTAAGGATCTGCTCGGTGTTGCATGGTAGGATGCTTGATTAGGAGAGATGTCTTTATGCATGTTGTGTGAGCTGGTAGTGACGCATGTTAGTGATTAGAGATCTTCAGGAGCTTCTGAGATAGGATTGCCTGTTTATGTGATGTTATTAGTTCTTGATACCCGAATGTTGCTTTCTTTGTGCTTTGTAGGACTCATATTGATGTAAGTTAGTTATCGCATGAATATGTTAAGTTACATCCAGTAAGGGTTAAATAATCTTAAAGTGGTTAACTTGGCCTTATTGCATAGCTCTCGTTTGAGTCTAACCGTTGTAGGGTTGAGTCTTTTAGTCGAAGGATTATCTAAGCTTTATTGCACGTAATTATATTTGTGAAGTAGTTAACTGACATTAGTAGAGGTCCTTCAGCAGCCGATAGCAGGGTGAGGTGGGAATCCTAGGAGAGCCTAGGAAGCTCTTTAGTGCGAGTGATGCATTGTTGATAGGAACAAATCCTTAATGATCGAATGTATTAAAACAGGTAAAGAACACAATATGATCAAACTGGTGCTGAATGATTAATAGTCACGCCTCAGAAGAACTCGATGAAGAATTACTTCTGTAGAGGCGTAAAGTGGGGTTACAAAGATAATTCTGAAAAGTTTTCTAACATACGTAGCATGCATGCACCTTATATACTATAACCCTAGCATTAAATACGAGTGGACAGGCCCAACTCGTTTATACACAATGGACTAGATAACATAGGCGCAATGACGCAACACTAATATCTTCAACAATCTCCCCCTTTGCGTCAATTGAAACCATAGCCATGTTAATTCGTGATTCGTAGACTTTGGGAATGAAACTCAACAGCAGCTTGCGAACATAAATGTACCAAGTGATCACATCAGTGAAACACTTCACATCATCTTTGTTGTTTCCCTTAAACTTCACAACAAGCTCCAAAATAAACTCCAGACAAGAAGTAGTAAACAAGTGTTTGTCTTCAAGATGAAAGAATAACTTGCGTCGATCTGCTCCTGGACGATCTCTAGACGTGTATACCACAAACCATCCTTTCTTGTAAATCTTTCCTGGCTTGAGCTTCTAGAAGTCTTTCGGAGCTTATTTTGGAACAACACTTGGTTTTTGCCTCAGAACAGTGGCAATTTCCACATCCATCAATCCAACTTCCTGAATGTAAGACTTGATCAAAATTTGAAGATGAGAAATGTAACACCCCAAATTTCAATTGTTCAATGAAGGGCCAAAAGTGTAAATTTAGGAAAGGGACTCAACGAGTAGGTCCGCTTACGCGCCGAGTCGGAGCGGGATTCTATCGCGGTTTAAGTGGCCAACTCGCCGAGTCGGCGGCTTGGACTCGACGAGTTGGTGTTGGAATGAGAAAACCTTAATCCCGAGGGTTGCACCCTATTTAAAGGACTTTATGTCCTTCTCCCAGCCTCCTAATCCCCCAGAGAGTTCCAGAAAACCCTAATTTCGTGTCAGACTTCATTGTTGAGGAGATTGGAGCTTGGAAGACGAATTTGGTGGAAGGAGCTTGAGAAATTAGAGGCTAGCATCAAGGGGCTTGTGTAGATCTGGGATCTACATCAGTTTGGGCACATCTTAGAGGTAAGGAGCCATTATCTTAAGCTATTTCCTTTTTGGGTTCATCCTTGGTGGTTGATTTGGAGTTCCTTAGCTTGTTTGAGATCTATTTCGGGTTTGGAGTTTAGATCTGAGGTTGCTACTCCAGATCTAAGCTTGTGATGGTCCTTAATGCAATAAAGCTCCTGTCTAAGAGTTATTGGTGAAGCCCCTTTGTCATAAACCCTAGCCCTAGAGTGTTTTGGGCTTATATCCCCTTGGTTTCACGTAAAGTTTGCAACTTTATGTGAGGGTTAGACTGTAGAAGAGTGGATCTATGGATTGGAGCCCCTGCATGGCTCGAAAAGCCTCTGTATGGATTGAGAACTGGAGAGACTCGGCGAGTCACATGGGTGTACTCGACGAGTTGTATGAACATGTGCATGGACTCGGCGAGTTGGAAGAACAACTCGGCGATTCTGTTAAAGATTGCCTTGGACTCGGCGAGTCTGTTCTTGGACTCGGCGAGTCTGGTCGCAGAACCCAACCTCTTCTGGTTAAGACGCAGATCAGTGAATCGAGGGGTGACTCGGTGAGTTGGACAGGATGGGGCTCGGAGATCGTTGGACTCGACGAGTCTTGGGGTGACTCGGCGAGTTGAGTCGTGTTCTAAGAGTTTTCAGAGTTTAAGGACTCGACGAGTCAACGGGTTGACTCGGCGAGTAGGGTCAGTCAGGAGGTTTGACTTTGGCCTGGACTTTGACTTTGACCTTCAAGGGTGTTATGGTAATTGGTTATTTATGTGAATGGTCCATTGATGGCAATAGGTGTTGGAGTTTGGAGCAGTGCTTCGGGTGTGTGCTTCCGTGGTTCGGTTCTTCATTTCAGGTGAGTTATCCTCACTATATCGACAGGGTCTACGGCACCAAGGCCGGCCCTTTATCGGATGGAAATCCGGGTATTGTTTGTTATGTTATTGCTTTGCTAGATCTGCATCCTGGTATTTAGGATGTTGTTATGTTAGTGACCTGGTTAAGGTCGGTACCCGGTATATAGGGTAATGTTATGCTAGTGACCGGTTAGGTCGGAATCCTGGTTAGGATGTTGATATGCTATGTGATCTGTTAGACTGTTTGTCTGGTTAAGGATTTGTTATGTGATTAATTGTTTTATGTGCACATGGTTGTTTGACGGGGGTTGGGTTGAGGCGGGTCCTGCTTTGTGCTGTAGGCCAACATACCCAGGGCGGACCGGATATTCCGAAGGCCCAGCGAGCGGTCCAGATAGGCTGAAGGCCCCAAGAGGGCAGACCAGACGTGCCGAGGCTCGGAGAGTGGACCAGGCCGACTGAAGGCCCGGTGTGGGCGGACCAGTCATACTGTAGACTCAGAGAGTGGACCAGGTAGATTGAAGGCCCGGTGCGGGCGGACCAATCACACTGTAGACTCGATGTACATGGCTAGACTCGGAGGGTGGACCAGGTGGACTGAAGGCCCGGTGCGGGCGGACCAGTCACACAGTAGACCCGATGTGCATGGCTGTTCTGTATTGTGATATGATATGAGTATGGTTATATGTGGTTGGTATTTTGGGGGTAACTCACTAAGCTTTCGGGCTTACAGTTTCAGTGTATTGTTTCAGGTACTTCAGGAGATCGTGGCAAGGCGAAGGCGTGATCGTACCGCTCCTCATGTTTTATGATTTATGTGATATGGTTCTGGGGAATACTCTGATGTTCAAACTATTTTGAAAACGAGATGTATGAACTTAATGGTTTTTGAATGAATTAAAATGTTTTAATTTGGCTCAATTTTTATGGGTGTTACAAGTTGGTATCAGAGTCTTGGTTTGAGTGAATTGGAGGAACATTCGTGTGAATCCAGTCTCAAATCAAGGAGGAATTTTCAAAATGGTTTTCAAAAGGTTTTCGAAATCAGTAAAGGAGGATGCAGAGGGTACGATCAGCCAGAGCCAGTAA